GCTAGCTGTAACGCTATTTATCCACCAGGCGGCGATGTAGCCTCAGCTAGCTGTAACGCTATTTATCCACCAGGCGGCGATGTAGCCTCAGCTAGCTGTAACGCTATTTATCCACCAGGCGGCGATGTAGCCTCAGCTAGCTGTAACGCTATTTATCCACCAGGCGGCGATGTGCCTCAGCTAGCTGTAACGCTATTTATCCACCAGGCGGCGATGTGGCCTCAGCTAGCTGTAACGCTATTTATCCACCAGGCGGCGATGTGGCCTCAGCTAGCTGTAACGCTATTTATATCCACCAGGCGGCGATGTGGCCTCAGCTAGCTGTAACGCTATTTATCCACCAGGCGGCGATGTGGCCTCAGCTAGCTGTAACGCTATTTATCCACCAGGCGATGTGGCCTCAGCTAGCTGTAACGCTATTTATCCACCAGGCGGCGATGTGGCCTCAGCTAGCTGTAACGCTATTATATCCACCAGGCGGCGATGTGCATCAGCTAGCTGTAACGCTATTTATCCACCAGGCGGCGATGTGGCCTCAGCTAGCTGTAAACGCTATTTATCCACCAGGCGGCGATGTGCCTCAGCTAGCTGTAACGCTATTTATCCACCAGGCGGCGATGTGCCTCAGCTAGCTGTAACGCTATTTATCCACCAGGCGGCGATGTGGCCTCAGCTTAGCTGTAACGCTATTTATCCACCAGGCGGCGCTGCCTCAGCTAGCTGTAACGCTATTTATCACCCAGGCGGCGATGTAGCCTCAGCTAGCTGTAACGCTATTTATCCACCAGGCGGCGATGTAGCCTCAGCTAGCTGTAACGCTATTTATCCACCAGGCGGCGATGTAGCCTCAGCTAGCTGTAACGCTATTTATCCACCAGGCGGCGATGTAGCCTCAGCTAGCTGTAACGCTATTTATCCACCAGGCGGCGATGTAGCCTCAGCTAGCTGTAACGCTATTTATCCACCAGGCGGCGATGTAGCCTCAGTAGCTGTAACGCTATTTATCCACCAGGCGGCGATGCCTCAGCTAGCTGTAACGCTATTTATCCACCAGGCGGCGATGTGGCCTCAGCTAGCTGTAACGCTATTTATCCACCAGGCGGCGATGTGGCCTCAGCTAGCTGTAACGCTATTTATCACCAGGCGGCGATGTGGCCTCAGCTAGCTGTAACGCTATTTATCCACCAGGCGGCGATGTGCCTCAGCTAGCTGTAACGCTATTTATCCACCAGGCGGCGATGTAGCCTCAGCTAGCTGTAACGCTATTTATCCACCAGGCGGCGATGTAGCCTCAGCTAGCTGTAACGCTTTTTATCCACCAGGCGGCGATGTAGCCTCAGCTAGCTGTAACGCTATTTATCCACCAGGCGGCGATGTAGCCTCAGCTAGCTGTAACGCTATTTATCCACCAGGCGGCGATGTAGCCTCAGCTAGCTGTAACGCTATTTATCCACCAGGCGGCGATGTAGCCTCAGCTAGCTGTAACGCTATTTATCCACCAGGCGGCGATGTAGCCTCAGCTAGCTGTAACGCTATTTATCCACCAGGCGGCGATGTAGCCTCACTAGCTGTAACGCTATTATCCACCAGGCGGCGATGTGCCTCAGCTAGCTGTAACGCTATTTATCCACCAGGCGGCGATGTGGCCTCAGCTAGCTGTAACGCTATTTATCCACCAGGCGGCGATGTGGCCTCAGCTAGCTGTAACGCTATTTATCCACCAGGCGGCGATGTGGCCTCAGCTAGCTGTAACGCTATTTATCCACCAGGCGGCGATGTGCCTCAGCTAGCTGTAACGCTATTTATCCACCAGGCGGCGATGTGGCCTCAGCTAGCTGTAACGCTATTTATCCACCAGGCGGCGATGTGGCCTCAGCTAGCTGTAACGCTATTTATCCACCAGGCGGCGATGTAGCCTCAGTAGCTGTAACGCTATTTATCCACCAGGCGGCGATGTAGCCTCAGCTAGCTGTAACGCTATTTATCCACCAGGCGGCGATGTAGCCTCAGCTAGCTGTAACGCTATTTATCCACCAGGCGGCGATGTAGCCTCAGCTAGCTGTAACGCTATTTATCCACCAGGCGGCGATGTAGCCTCAGCTAGCTGTAACGCTATTTTCCACCAGGCGGCGATGTAGCCTCAGCTAGCTGTAACGCTATTTATCCACCAGGCGGCGATGTAGCCTCAGCTAGCTGTAACGCTATTTATCCACCAGGCGGCGATGTAGCCTCAGCTAGCTGTAACGCTATTTATCCACCAGGCGGCGATGTAGCCTCAGCTAGCTGTAACGCTATTTATCCACCAGGCGGCGATGTAGCCTCAGCTAGCTGTAACGCTATTTATCCACCAGGCGGCGATGTAGCCTCAGCTAGCTGTAACGCTATTTATCCACCAGGCGGCGATGTAGCCTCAGCTAGCTGTAACGCTATTTATCCACCAGGCGGCGATGTGGCCTCAGCTAGCTGTAACGCTATTTATCCACCAGGCGGCGATGTGGCCTCAGCTAGCTGTAACGCTATTTATCCACCAGGCGGCGATGTGGCCTCAGCTAGCTGTAACGCTATTTATCCACCAGGCGGCGATGTGGCCTCAGCTAGCTGTAACGCTATTTATCCACAGGCGGCGATGTGCCTCAGCTAGCTGTAACGCTATTATCCACCAGGCGGCGATGTAGCCTCAGCTAGCTGTAACGCTATTTATCCACCAGGCGGCGATGTAGCCTCAGCTAGCTGTAACGCTATTTATCCACCAGGCGGCGATGTAGCCTCAGCTAGCTGTAACGCTATTTATCCACCAGGCGGCGATGTAGCCTCAGCTAGCTGTAACGCTATTATCCACCAGGCGATGTAGCCCAGCTAGCTGTAACGCTATTTATCCACCAGGCGGCGATGATGGCCGCCCCCCCATCCATTTCCCACTGTGGACGTCCCTGACCACGCCCACTACACCATCGGCTCCATCATCCTGGTCATCGGCGTCACAGGTGTGGTCGGGAACTTCCTGGTGATCTACGCCTTCAGCAGGTACAGAGAATACTTCCTGCAACCAAATATGGTCAGAACCGTTTCTGACCATTGGTCAATGAAATGTCCTCTCAATGCTGCTACATTTTATTATTTCATTCAAATACTTTATTATTTCATTTAAACTAAATTTGGAGGCTTCTTTTCACTAAGAGTAATTTAGCTGAGAATTAAAAGGAGTAATTTTTCTTTCACAACAGAAAATACCTAAAGATCTGATTTCCTCAACAAAAGGCCAGATATCAGAGCCGGTGAACTGATCCATCACTGCTCAGCAAACATCTTTGTTTGAGTTGGGGAACGATTCGATCCAGCCGGTTTCTGACGTCCGCTTCATCGATCGACGTTTATTTAGAGGAAAACCAGAAGATTTAATTCTGATGGTTCTGATCCAGAATCTTTCCATCAGAACCACGAACCGAGTTCATCCTGAAGTTAAAACAGGAACGCAGAAACAATCTGAAAACCTAAAGCATTCACATTAATACTGTTAAACTTAAAAAATGATGAAAAGAGTTAAAGTAAATTTATCTAAATATAAAAATCGATCAGATCTGCTGTTATTGATCGGGAATCACTGAAGGTAGATTCAGTTCTTTTGTGTCATTTTGTTTCTTCAAGAAAATATTTTATTTTTGTAGATAAACTTTTGAAACCGATTTGGCAGAAATCCTGAATTTGACCTGGACTATGGGGTTAAATCAACACCAAAAATGTTACACCTGGGAAAAATATCAAGTTTTGATCTTAAAATAAAATGTATATTTATTTTATTCAATCATTTTTGTAGTTTTCTCAGTTCAACATCAAACTTCTGTATTCAGTTTTAACTTCATAATGTTCATCTGTTTCTTGAAATGATGAAATTTAAGGATTGGTCAAAACATTTAAAAACTTGCTGTAAAGAAGAACAAGTTTAGATATTGACTGAGTACAGTTCATTCAACATAAACAGCTGAAAACCAAATTATAAAAAAAAATGAAAGGAAATATTTTCAAAACGCTTTAAATCCCTAACAGCACAGAGGCGCCACCTTCTGGCAGAAATGTCCATTAACATGATGCAAGAAAAGTTTTTATTTAAGTTTTCATTCATTTATGTATTTCTTTTTAGTTATCTTAGTTTTCTTTATGTATGCGTTTTTTAGCTTCACATTTTAATTAATTGTTAGTTTTGTTGTGTTATTTATTGTTACTTTTAGTACTTCCGGTATTTCTGTCTCCTGCAGGAGCCGCAGCCTGCGGACGCCGGCCAACATGTTCATCATCAACCTGGCCGTCACCGACCTGCTGATGTGCATCACCCAGTCGCCCGTCTTCTTCACCACCAGCATGAAAAAGAGGTGGATCTTTGGAGAGAAAGGTAACCGTGGCAACCGGCTGAGGAGCGGGGAGGGCTTCATCCAGCAGGGGGCGCCACAGGCTGGAGGAGTTTATGTCTCATAAATGACTCCGGATCATTTTTCAGTCATTTAAAAAACTGTTTCTGGATTTTCAGAGTAAATTTTCTGCCATGGTTACAGAACCGACAGCTGAGAGCTGTTAAAGAGCAGTTACAGAGGCTGAACACCAGGGGGCGGCAAACTGGAACCGCTTCCCTTGACTGGTTCCTGACTGGATTCTGATTGGTTCCTGACTGGTTCCTGACTGGTTCCTGATTGGTTCCTGACTGGATTCTGATTGGTTCCTGACTGGATTCTGATTGGTTCCTGACTGGTTCCTGATTGGTTCCTGACTGGATTCTGATTGGTTCCTCAGTGGTTCCTGATTGGTTCCTGACTGGATTCTAACTGGTTCCTGACTGGATTCTGACTGGTTCCTGATTGGTTCCTGACTGGATTCTGATTGGTTCCTGACTGGTTCCTGATTGGTTCTTGACTGGATTCTGATTGGTTCCTGAGTGGTTCCTGACTGGATTCTAACTGGTTCCTGATCGGTTCGTGACTGGATTCTGACTGGTTCCTGATTGGTTCGTGACTGGATTCTGATTGGTTCCTGATTGGTTCGTGACTGGATTCTGATTGGTTCCTGATTGGTTCCTGACTGGATTCTGATTGGTTCCTGAGTGGTTCCTGACTGGATTTTAACTGGTTCCTGACTGGTTCCTGATTGGTTCATAAGTGGTTCCTGATTGGTTCCTGACTGGATTCTGATTGGTTCCTGACTGGATTCTGATTGGTTCCTGAGTGGTTCCTGATTGGTTCCTGACTGGATTCTGATTGGTTCCTGATTGGTTCCTGACTGGATTCTAACTGGTTCCTGACTGGATTCTGACTGGTTCCTGATTGGTTCCTGACTGGATTCTGACTGGTTCCTGATTGGTTCTTGACTGGATTCTGATTGGTTCCTGAGTGGTTCCTGACTGGATTCTGATTGGTTCCTGATTGGTTCGTGACTGGATTCTGATTGGTTCCTGATTGGTTCCTGAGTGGTTCCTGACTGGTTCCTGACTGGATTTTAACTGGTTCCTGATTGGTTCCTGACTGGTTCCTGATTGGTTCCTGACTGGATTCTGATTGTTTCCTGACTGGTTCCTGATTGGTTCCTGACTGGATTCTAACTGGTTCCTGACTGGATTCTGACTGGTTACTGACTGGATTCTGACTGGTTCCTGATTGGTTCCTGACTGGATTCTGATTGGTTCCTGATTGGTTCTTGACTGGATTCTGATTGGTTCCTGAGTGGTTCCTGACTGGATTCTAACTGGTTCCTGATCGGTTCGTGACTGGATTCTGACTGGTTCCTGATTGGTTCGTGACTGGATTCTGATTGGTTCCTGATTGGTTCGTGACTGGATTCTGATTGGTTCCTGATTGGTTCCTGACTGGATTCTGATTGGTTCCTGAGTGGTTCCTGACTGGTTCCTGACTGGATTTTAACTGGTTCCTGATTGGTTCCTGACTGGTTCCTGATTGGTTCATAAGTGGTTCCTGATTGGTTCCTGAGTGGATTCTGATTGGTTTCTGACTGGATTCTGATTGGTTCCTGAGTGGTTCCTGACTGGATTCTGATTGGTTCCTGACTGGATTCTGATTGGTTCCTGATTGGTTCCTGACTGGATTCTGATTGGTTCCTGACTGGATTCTGATTGGTTCCTGACTGGATTCTGATTGGTTCCTGATTGGTTCCTGAGTGGTTCCTGATTGGTTCCTGACTGGATTCTGATTGGTTCCTGAGTGGTTCCTGATTGGTTCCTGAGTGGTTCCTGATTGGTTCCTGACTGGATTCTGATTGGTTCCTGAGTGGTTTCTGATTGGTTCCTGATTGGTTCCTGATTGGTTCGTGACTGGATTCTGATTGGTTCCTGATTGGTTCCTGACTGGATTCTGATTGGTTCCTGAGTGGTTCCTGACTGGTTCCTGACTGGATTTTAACTGGTTCCTGATTGGTTCCTGACTGGTTCCTGATTGGTTCATAAGTGGTTCCTGATTGGTTCCTGAGTGGATTCTGATTGGTTCCTGATTGGTTCCTGACTGGATTCTGATTGGTTCCTGACTGGATTCTGATTGGTTCCTGACTGGATTCTGATTGGTTCCTGATTGGTTCCTGACTGGATTCTGATTGGTTCCTGACTGGATTCTGATTGGTTCCTGACTGGATTCTGATTGGTTCCTGATTGGTTCCTGAGTGGTTCCTGATTGGTTCCTGACTGGATTCTGATTGGTTCCTGAGTGGTTCCTGATTGGTTCCTGAGTGGTTCCTGATTGGTTCCTGACTGGATTCTGATTGGTTCCTGAGTGGTTCCTGATTGGTTCCTGACTGGTTCCTGACTGGATTCTGATTGGTTCCTGACTGGATTCTGATTGGTTCCTGATTGGTTCCTGACTGGATTCTGATTGGTTCCTGAGTGGTTCCTGATTGGTTCCTGACTGGATTCTGATTGGTTCCTGAGTGGTTCCTGACTGGATTCTGACTGGTTCCTGATTGGTTCGTGACTGGATTCTGATTGGTTCCTGATTGGTTCGTGACTGGATTCTGATTGGTTCCTGATTGGTTCCTGACTGGTTCCTGACTGGTTCCTGACTGGATTTTAACTGGTTCCTGATTGGTTCCTGACTGGTTCCTGATTGGTTCCTGACTGGATTCTGATTGTTTCCTGACTGGTTCCTGATTGGTTCCTGACTGGATTCTAACTGGTTCCTGACTGGATTCTGATTGGTTCCTGAGTGGTTCCTGACTGGTTCCTGACTGGATTTTAACTGGTTCCTGATTGGTTCCTGACTGGTTCCTGATTGGTTCATAAGTGGTTCCTGATTGGTTCCTGAGTGGATTCTGATTGGTTCCTGATTGGTTCCTGACTGGATTCTGATTGGTTCCTGACTGGATTCTGATTGGTTCCTGACTGGATTCTGATTGGTTCCTGATTGGTTCCTGACTGGATTCTGATTGGTTCCTGACTGGATTCTGATTGGTTCCTGACTGGATTCTGATTGGTTCCTGATTGGTTCCTGACTGGATTCTGATTGGTTCCTGACTGGATTCTGATTGGTTCCTGATTGGTTCCTGAGTGGTTCCTGATTGGTTCCTGACTGGATTCTGATTGGTTCCTGACTGGATTCTGATTGGTTCCTGACTGGATTCTGATTGGTTCCTGAGTGGTTCCTGATTGGTTCCTGACTGGATTCTGATTGGTTCCTGACTGGTTCCGGCTGTGTTCAGATCATCTCTTCCAACAGGAAGATTGATCTGACCTGTCCATCTGTCTGACTGAGTCCAGAGATGTGTCTGGTTCTGTTTGTCCAGACTGGTTGTGATTCCGTGTTGGAACCAGAACCAGAACCGACTGATCCGTCATTCTTCTTCTCCCCTGCAGGCTGTGAGCTGTACGCCTTCTGCGGCGCCCTCTTTGGGATCTGCTCCATGATCACGCTGATGGTGATCGCCATCGACCGTTACTTCGTCATCACACGCCCTCTGACCTCCATCGGCGTGTTGTCACGGAAACGGGCGCTCCTCATCCTGCTGGCAGTGTGGGCGTATTCGCTGGGCTGGAGCCTTCCGCCTTTCTTCGGCTGGAGTGAGAACGCGCGGTGACATCATCATGACTATGACGTCATCATCACGATGATGACGTCGTCGTCATGACGACTGGGCCTGTTGCAGTGATATGATGATAATGACAAAATAATGAAAGATCTGATCTGAAAGATGAATAAACTTTTTTCTAATCAACATTTAAGTCTGGAAGTGGAGGACATTTTTAATATCTAAAACAAAGAAAAGATAAAATAATTAAGATTCTGGAATCAAAATGATCCTGAAATGCTGGTTGAGCAGAAATCACATCTGACTCTCTCTCCAGGTGCCTACGTACCTGAAGGCCTCCTCACCTCCTGTACCTGGGACTACATGACCTTTACCCCCTCGGTGCGGGCCTACACCATGCTGCTCTTCATCTTCATCTTCTTCCTGCCACTCTTCATCATCATCTACTGCTATGTCTTCATCTTCAGAGCCATCCGCTCCACCAACCGGTCGGTCCCGGTTCTGTTCAGGTGCTGTGGGGCTGGAGGCCCATCGACCCACCGTGTGTGTGTGTGTGTGTGTGTGCAGGGCGGTGGGGAAGCTCAGCAGCTCTCGGGACGCAGTGAAGAGTTTCCACCGACTGCAGAATGAATGGAAGATGGCGAAGATCGCTCTGATCGTCATCCTGCTGTACGTCGTGTCCTGGTCGCCGTACTCCGCCGTCGCTCTCACCGCCTTCGCAGGGTAGGACACACACACATGCATGCACACACACTTGCATGCACACACACTTGCATGCACACACACACACGCCGACACACACACACGCATGCATGCATGCACACACACACGCATGCATGCATGCACACACACACGCACGCACACACACGCCGACACACACACACGCATGGATGCACACACACACGCCGACACACACGCATGCACGCACGCACACACACACGCATGCACACGCACGCACAGACACACACACACGCACGCACACACACACACACACACACGCACACACACGCACACACACACACACACACACACACACGCACGCACACACACACACACGCACACACACACACGCACACACACACACGCACGCACACACACACACATGCACACACACACACACGCACACACACACACACACACACACACGCACACACACACACACACACACACGCATGCACACGCACGCACAGACACACACACGTTGTCACACACACACAGCTAATTAATCATCATATTTATGATCATTTTAAGAAACATCTGAAACAAATCAAGCTTGAGGAAAAGTGACCATGGTTTATACAGTTTCTATCTAAGCAGTGATAGCAAGGTCTTCTGGTCAGTTTTCATTTAAGAAAGTAAAGATTTCTACAGCAAATTAGAGACTTAACAAACCGGCACCCTGCCCAGCTGGTCAAAAAGCCTCTGGTGACGCCGTACATTTAATAAAAGCCATCAGCATTATTACTCTGTGACCTGGTCTGAGGTTTCCCCCTGACGCAGCTTCATGACGCAGCCATCATGAGCCATGAGCTTCATGATAGCTGCCCTTCATGCTGCTACATGACACCATGATGAGGAGCCATTATGAAGCCATGCAGGTCTGACTTTCCCCCACATATCAAGAAATGTTTGACTGATCTACACAAACACCTCAGTACAAACATTAAGCTAATGCTAACAGCAGGAGCACGGTAATATACTGGATTTGGCTAAGATTCTGAGAAAAATAACTCACAGTAGAAGAAGATGAAGCATCTATAGACACCAGGACTGAAACTATGAGATTAATTTAATAAAAGAAAAACAGAACAGTCAGTAAACCAAAACTGAACAATAAATATAAACATTTTACATTTAAGATGAAAAAAAATCTTGTTGGTGTTTAACTTTGTTCCACCAGAACTCCCAGTTCAGTTTTAGCTTCAGCTGCTTCACATGCTGGAAGAATCTCCTGTTAATCACATTTTCTGTCCAGTCATTAATCTATAATTCGTCACCAGATTGGCTCTGCGCTGTATTAGTGTCCAGCTTGAGCTTCTCACATGATGATGTCATGTGAGACATCATCATCATCAAAGTATTTTAGCTGGAGATGCATCTTTTACTGCAAAAGATCAAACTTTCACCAGAAATGAGTGGATTACTGGGAAAAACTATTAGATCAAGTAAAATCTTCCTCTTTTCACCAGCTGGGGGCGCTCTTTTAAGAAACCAAACATTAACCAGACCATGATTTTGTCAGGTTGGTGCCTGACAGACACCGCTGAGGGCTGAACGACGCGTTCTGATTGTCTCTGCTTCAGGTACGCGGACATGTTGACCCCCTACATGAACTCCGTTCCCGCCGTCATCGCCAAGGCCTCCGCCATCCACAACCCCATCATCTACGCCATCACTCACCCGAAGTACAGGTGAGACTTGCTGGGCCAGCAGGGCATTTAGCGATCAGCTGGGTTAGCATAATTATCTCTCCATTAAATTTACATTTGAAACTCTGACCCATTTTCATTCAAACACACCAAGTTGTTTCTTAAATCTTGGTGGCCCCCTGCTGGCCCGGAGGCCCTAAGACAGGGGTCCAAATTGCGTCTCGGGACCCGTTTGGGGCCCTTTGAGTGATTTGTTCTGGCCCACATAAGCAGTTCAAAAAATTTGTTTATTAACCTTTTTGATTTTAATCAGGGTAAAATTATTACAGAGATAATTTTCCTTGAAAGGAAAATATAAAGTACAACATAAATTATTAACATGTTTATAACCAGAGTTTTATAATACATAGAAACACGTTTATCCAGAAAGTTTCACTAGAAAAACGACTTTATTAAATATAAAACAAACTTTTATATTTAAAAGGTTTATTTCACTTATTGAACTTTATAAATAAAACCATGATCCAAATCTTGTTTAATAACTTTAAATACATTTGTTCACTAAACCTAAAATAATTTGAAAAATAGAAATATTTGATCCATAAAAAGTCAAAATAAATAATTTTTTCTTGGCCCACCAGTACTTTGACTAGACTATTTTGGCCCAAATTTGTAATTTTCTCTCTCTATTTATTTTATTTCTATATTACAATGTCGTCTTTACAACAAGAATTTATTTCATTTTAAAAATGTGTTAAATCTGTGAATTGCCCACTGAAACAGAACATGCCTCCTGTACTGCAATAACGATTTGATTATGAAATAATTTAGTTGATTTTGTGTAAATTTTGACCCGTTTCAGACGGCGGGTCTGATGCTGCGGTTCAGAATGAGGGGATAAACAGAAGTGGGTCAGCTGACGCTCCAGAGAAAGCGGCAGCTGATCGGATCGATCAGGACGTTAATTGATGAAATCTGAATCATCCTAATGGCTGCTAACTGGAGCGCTGAATTAAACTCCACAGGAAGGGTTTTACAGGTTAATGACCCGTGTCCATCAGGGGATCTGGCGCCGCCCCCTGCTGGTCGGAACTGCTGGTGTTAGTGGCTCAGAGTTTCTTCTTCTGTGGTTCTAGGCTGGCTCTGGCCAAGTACGTCCCGTGTCTGGGTGCGCTGTGTGTCCGTCTGCGTGACCTTCACTCCTCCAGCAGCAGCTTCCTGTCAACGCGCCGCTCCACCGTCACCAGCCAGAACTCCGACATCAGCAGCCAATACCGGCACAGCGCAGCCAAGTCCCGCCTCTCCTCCGGCTCCGACAGCGAATCGGTGAGACCCACACTGCAGCGTTTCCTCTGCAGAGAGGAAGTAGTGCTGAGTGTTTGCTCTGCAGAGAGGAAGTAGTGCTGAGCTGTTCTGGCCCCCATAAGCATTTTAAAAAATTTGAACTGCTTACGGTTATGGTTCTGTCTACAGAAAGCGTCTCTTCCTGTCACTTTCTGCGGACAGGAAGGGACGCTGAGCATAGCGTTCCTGTTGCAGGGTCTGACGGACACGGAGGCCGATCTGTCCAGTCTGGGCTCGCGGCCGGCTAGTCGCCAGGTTTCCTGTGACATCAGCAGAGACACCGCCGAGACGCCAGGCGGAAAACGGTCGACCAGCTTCAAGGCCAAGCTGAGGAACCATGACTCAGGAATCTTTGAAAAGGTAAAATGTCTGATCTGGATCTGGTTTCACTCAGATTTGTTTCGTCTGAACTCTGTTACGGCGCCATCTGCTGCTGTGGGACGTCTGGAGGGACGATGTCCTTCCTTCAGGACCAGTCTGGATCTCCTGGTTCTGGCTCTCTGGTCGAACAGGACCTGTTCCAATTCGTCCTTGTGGACTTCAGAGACCGTCTGTCTGTCCTTTTGTTTGTCCCTGCTGACATCTGGTCTCTTTGTCTCTCCAGACGTCGTTGACACCATGTCCATGGGAGGAGTCAGCGAACGCAGCAGTGTCCCAAATGTGAGTGGAGACGACCGTCCATTACCTCCAGTGCCCTTCATGTTGTCCCTGCTGACCTCTGACCTCTATGTCCCTGCCTCCCTGGACAGAGCGGGGACGCCTCAGAGGGACACCTGATGAGGGGACAGATCGGCCGGATCCCAGCATCGTCATCACCTCAGAGACCAGCCCCTTCCTGTCCATTGGCCGGAGCGGCTCGCGGACGTCCCGGCCCAAAGCCTCCAGCGGAGCCCTGGGGGCGGGCCAGGGTAGAGCCCCGCCCACCAGTCATATGACTGGTGCAGATCTCAGCAGATAAAACCAGAGTTTACAACTATTCAAGTTATTTTAATGTGACAAAGATCTTCAACCTTCATGAAGACTGAGGGGAAAACTAAACAAACTGCAGTGGTGGGCGCTAATCTGCTAATCTGCCAGAAGCTGAGCTAATGTTTTTTTAGCGCTTTAATGTCAGCTTCCACCAGATAATGAATTGTAATTGAACTTTAGCATTAATGGTACTGACAATCATGGTTAGTGCTTGTGGTTAGCATGTTAGCATTAGAGAAAATAATGTTTCTGGTTACTCAAACTAAATTTGTGGTTATCACATTAGCGTTAGCTGAATGGTTAGCGCTTTAGCATCAGCACAGCTAACCAGTTAGCTAGCAGTCCCCACCACTGCTGAGCTGTCATTGAAAACAAACCAAATTAATCAAGTCAGCTTTAAACAATATAATCCAGATTCAGACAGAAAGATGTCGGGACAGAATCCGGATCGGGATTAACTGAGACGGCAAGGGAGCAGAACCAGCTGGACGGTTCTGATGAGATCTCAATCTGATCAGAAAACATCTGCAAACCTGTACAGATGTCCTCTGCTATGATTGGCTGGTTCCGACTGAACCACCCCAAAGAGAACCGGTCCAGGGTCAGCTTCTGATGGTTCGTTCCCCTGAGGGAGGAATCCAGATGTTCATGTTTGTTGTTGTGTATTTATGGAATGTTTTTCCTGTTTCACTTTTTATTGTTCTGAATGTTTAGATGTTTTCTGGTTCTGGAACCCAAAGCCGGCCACTGAACCGGAACAGAACCCTGTCCTGAAGCTGATTGGTTCCAGATGACATGATGTCACTGAGAGTTTTGAGCTCCAGGTGAACGACCTTGTGGCCCCGTTTGGGTCGGGATGTTCCGGTCCAGCCAGCATAGCTGGAATGTTTCTCTGCTTTTTGTTTTCTGGACGGTTTTTGTTTGGTCACTAAAACTGGAGCAGAACCTCCAGTCCAGAACCTTGAGTGGTTCTGTCACCTACCAGACCTGCAGAGTAAATATTAATGTTCGTGATCCTGAAGCTGTAAATGTTCTGAGTATTTATGCCGACCCGTGTTGACCCGGTTTATTTTCTAAATAAAGATCCGTTCTCCAGCCCAGCCGCTCTGTGGTTCTGTTCTAGAACTATTAGTGATGCTCTTGTAGCGTAGTTAATCCTGCGTTGTGTCTTTTTGAGGCAAGAAAAGCCAAACAACAGCTGATGTGCAGATGATTTTAATGCACCTGCATTCAAATGGCAGAAAATAGTATCAATCAGAACAGTGTACTTTTCAGTCCCGCACAGCGCCTTCTCCCACGGAATCCGAACAGAAAGAGCGCGACCGAGAGTGTGTGGGAAAACCTTTCACAGCCTACAATGGTATGATCCACTAATTTATTTTTAAACTCCAAACTGATACTAGAAATAATGACCCATGAACTAAATATGTTCAACAGCAACAATAATAATTCCCATTTCTATTTACAACACATGAAAGGTTAATAAAAATAATAATTTGGAGACAGGAAGTTACCTGCTGGATTACAATGGATCTGTCGTCCTTTCAAAATAAAGCTGCCGGTGCTCAGAATTTCCCATCGGAACACCCTCCCACTTAACAATCTAGTGTAACAACATCACATCGCTACACTCTGAGGAAAAAAGAATCAAACTAAGAATCGGGACCAGGAATGTCTCCAGTCTGGTTCTCCTGGATCCTTCAGATCAGATCCAGGTTTTCATCTCATCACTGGATCTAAAATATTCTGGTTCTCCGGAACTCGTCTCTTCGGTGTCGATATAAACTAGAGCTGCTGTTGGCAGAAAAATGGATGTGACTGTTTGGTGGAGGATGAGCGTCTCCCTTTCCATGGAGATGATCTGCACAGCGATGGATCCGACCAGGAAATAAAGTTCAGTTAGTTAAGAAACATCAGAACAGGAAGCCCATGACTTTTACTGAAATGAAATCCAAACTGAATATATAAGGTCTGTTGACTTTGCATAAATTAATCAAAAATAAAAAAGTATTTCAGAAATTTTACTGTACTTATTTAAATAACAAATTTATTGGTAAACTTATGACTAAAAGATGGATCAAAAAACAGAATGGAGAGTGAAAAGTTTTAATAAATTTCATCTATCAAAATTGTGTTTCTCTAAATTATTCTGAAACTACATGAAGAATAAACTAGCGATGATACATATCGTGCTATTAGCATTAGCTTTAGAAGAGCTGGAGATACAGACTGTTGTTTTTCAGTTATGACGGTCTCACGTTGCATTTGGACTAGAAACTCAGATCTGGCAACCTTCCGAACGGCGCCATGTTTGTTATTTATGAGCGTGAGGCGCATGCGCTGTGCTACATAGAGACATGGCGCAGCTTCATCATCATCGTTTTAAAAAAGAGGCGGGTCGGACGTTCATCCACTGAAACCCGGATTAAACCGAGATTAAACCGGGTGTTCCCGATCTCTCAGGACGTCGAGTGAGCGGCCAGCATGAAGGACTTTTGCGGTTATCCTGAAATCATCTCAGTTTTGACCGAGGCCTAGTATTTTGGCGCCTTGTACTTGACCTGCTGGAGAGGCGGGAGCGCCATGTTTGTTTCTCGGTCATTTACCTTTCGGTAAGTTGCTTGTTGTTTACATGATGAAGTTCTGGAAGCCATTTTTGTTTCAGAAGAGGAGCAACCGGCCGCAGCGTCTCAGCGCGGATTGGCAGGAGTTTTATATCGTTTTCTTCTTTAGGATAGAAATTCACCACAAACCTCTGATATCAACAAAAACTTTCCGTAGGAAGGAAAGAAATAATTAAAGCTGCAAGCAGCCTCGAACGGCCCTCGCAGCCAAGCGCCGCTCCGGCCTATTGCCACCGCGGGGTACGAGCAACCGCCGCCTCACGCCAGCCACCACAGAAGCTCTCACGCAGTTTTCAGCGCCTCCGCCCGCACCGCGGAAGCTGTTGCTCAGTTTCCATCAACGCTGCGCACGTGCTAAGACAGAAGTTGTTGCGCAGTTTCCGCGCCCGTCCACCAGGCGGTACGCATCTATGCGTTCGGCAGCTATCCTTCACGATGCAAAAAAATGTGGTATATTCATTGGTTTAGCGAGGAAATATAGCTGGCGGATTAATGTAGGGGCGCAGTGGAGCCAAAATACATTTCAATGCTGTTTTGCTCTTTAGAGGTCAACAAAGGTCATACGTATCCAATTTGTCGTCAGTCGGATGATCCACGTGTCATTTACAGCCGATCATATGCACATGGCGAAGTAATGCATTTCGTCATTTCTACACCCCAATGCGGTTCGGTCAGCAGCCAGCATTCATAGAGTTCATCATGTTATCGTTTTTAGTCAGTATTCACATGATGAAACCCATATAAATTATAGAATAACAGTAAAACATACAGCAGAAAAAACATGTGACTGCCTCTTAAAAGTGGGCGGGGCTACAGTGAGGTCATCAAGTGACCATGGAAATGTGTTCAGGGCTGTTCTCTAGAAAGACAGAGGAAGTGTGATGATGCAGCTGTGATCTTGCATTTGGAAGTCATTTAATGTTGATGTTTCATGGTAAATAGTGAAAGTTTTACACTAAGCCACACCCACATGCTTGATGTTAACTACAACTGAGATCTAAATGCAGTGCAACTTTGACGTTATCGTGAAATGAGTCAGGAAAATGGTGAAGGTTAAGATGTATCAGTTTAATAAACCGTACTGTTCAGTAATAAACCAAGGCAATGCACAATAACAGAGCACAGTTAACTTTCAGCACTTTAGAACAATAGCACAGGCTCAATCCCATCCATTAATTAGGTATTAATCACAGGAAGTGCTGCAACTAAATATTACAACCCCAATGGATCGGTAAAAAGATACTTAGCATTTTTTCAGAGCTCTTTCAAACGACATTTTAAACATCTTCTATACATAATAACAAACAACTCTCAATGTATGAAACTGGATGTATCACACACACTATTCAGTTTATTGAATTAGTAAAGCGCTTCGTTAGCATTAAAAACGTTGCAGGCCTCAGGCATTGGGTTAGCATCCTCCTCAGAATAACTGTTCCAAACATGACGGCTTCCAGAACCAGCAGGAAGGAATAAATTACTCACCGCACCGCGAGTTACGACTGTTTAAACGAACAGCAATGGCTCTTTGCACCTGCCGCGCTGACGTCACAACTGTATACCAGAATGCGGCTCTTTTTTCCACTTTCAGAAACTATGACTGCTATAAAAGACAAAGTCGTACTTAAGACTCAAATAAAACAATACTATGTACTTTGTTTAGGTTTTCATGGATTTCCAAGCGATCCTCAATTAAGACAGCTTGTAAATATTGGTTGCTACAGGTTAAAGCTACCTCTTGAAGCTAACGCCGTACACACCGTTCTAAACACCGTCTTAATGAGCCATTCACAACAAGCATGCAAAAGTAATAAAACGAAATAACACAGAAATCTTAAGCAACACGGCCATATTTTTCTAAAAGTAATAACTCTGAATCTGAACAGTCAGCTGAACTAGAACTCCGATACCAGAGTAAGCTCTGTGCTCGTTTTTCTTCGTCATACTTCAAGCAAAAACTCTGAACTGTAATCTGCCCCCCCCCCCTCCCCGCTGCTTTATTGTCGTTAACAATAAACACACGTAATATGCTTGAAAATAAGGCACAAACAGTGTCCGTTAGAATGGCTGAGAAATCTTTAGATAATTAAATAGCAGATTTTTACTAGAAAAATGTCAGAGAATAATCCCTGCTAGCACAAGCTAGCTGGCTTGTGCTAGCAGTTTAGAGAAAATAAAACTCAC